TAAATGTCTTAGAGTTTTAGATACGGATTAAAGAGAGTTCGGATTAGAGAGGTTCGGATTAGAGAGAGTTGACTGTAATGATAACACTTGCAGTCAAGTGATCAAAAAAACCTGTCTATTAATTGAATTACACGATACTGGCACTGGGTATGCTAATTATTTTTATTTAAATATTTGATTTTGACACCTTTTAATAGTTTAATTTATTTTTAGCATCAATTACTAGACAAGATGGTATAGGACTTGGTCTTTAAATCTGTAAAAATTTAGTAGCAATTAATGGTGGAGAAATTAAAGTTGAAAGCCAGTTAGGAAAAGGAAGTAAATTTTGGTTTACGTGGAATATCGAACCATCACCACCAAATACTATATTTAATAAGCAAATAAGTTATATACTACCATATTATATCATATTAAAGCGAATATTAGTAATTCATCCGGTAGAAAGTGCGATAAATGCAATATTGAAATATCCTAAAATGATTAAAAAAATTGATGCATTTGATACTCCCTCTAAAGGTATCAAAGAAGTAAAAAATTATCTAGATTTGTATAATCAACCTGCTTATGACATAGTATTTATTATGCTTTATGAAAAGAACAAAGATGGGGTTATGAAAATTTTATTAGAATTAAGAGAAATTGATATGTATGGTAATGATTTATTAATAATCTTTATGGTATGTTCGGGCGATAAAGGAACAGTTTTGGCTGAAAATTTAATTTCGAAGGTTGGAGGACGAACTGCTGTCCTTTATTCTCTAATTACTTGGCAAAAAATTACTAACCTGTTGTCGAATGTAAAGGATGATGTTGTTGAGAGTAAAAGTATCAGCACTCTAAAAAGAGGGGCAGATTATAAAGTTTGTTTATATGATGCAAATGTAAATGAGACAGCATTTAAAAGAAGATCAAGATCTGTTTCTAAGAATAAGTGTGTTTTGTGTGGTAAGCTTTAATTTCTTTAATTAGATAACATATCAACTCAATTTTAACAATTTTTATATTTATAGGATGATAATTCTACTGTAACCATTTTTTTATCTTCAAATGTATCTTCCTCGCAAATTTGTTGATTTATTTTGTTTCTAGGCTACACTACAACAAATCTCATCACTTGGCTATTCAACAATTTCTGCAACAAATAGTCAAGAAGCAATTAATATATTTAAATCGGAACTTGAACAATTAAATAGCATGCGTTCAACTTTATCAAGTTCAGATGCAAATGTGTTAGGTTTCCGAAGAATTTCTATGGTTTTGATAGGATGTAATTTGGTAAGTTTTATTTATCGTTTGCAAATTGATGTACTTTTTGATCAAATTTGTAGATCGCTGCATACCCGTACAATGACTACAATCACTTGAACA